AATAACATTAACATATATTGTTTTACTATTTTATAAACATTTTTTTTATGAAATAACATTATATCAACATATTATAAAATTCAACTTTGACCACATAAATAAAATTATGTTAAATGACATTTTTAATCTTAAAAGATAAGCTTCATGACAAAATTGCCATTATATCCTTGAGTGCACTTCTACCATTTCCCCTTCTCTATATATATAAGACTATTAACAAAGAGTATTGAAGCAATCATTTTTTGCAGTTCACACAAGGTTCTAAACCTTCCTCTAATTTTTTTTTTTTTAATATAGATAGAATTTTTCAACCCTCTAGCTCCACCATCCTTTTCTTTATTTTTTCTTTGATTGTTACTAAATTCCTAAACTTTGCTATCTCTTTCATGGAATGATTGCATAGATGTTCATATATATGGTTAAGTTTTACTACTCTTCAAAACTTGTTTTTAATTGTTTTCTTAATGATATTCAGGTAATGATTCTTTCTCATTCATTTAATTACAAGTTTTTTTTTGAAAGATTATGGTCATATATAATATACTTTCATTTTTTGGTTTGAGTTGTGCTCTATATGTTTTAGTTGACAGATTATTTTACTCTCTCCACTATATAATGGAAAAAATGATGTTATCTTGCCTTTTGTTTTCTCTACCAAAAATTATGATTCTGTTTTGTATATCATATGAGACTTTATAAATGAGTCAGATTCTTCTTCATTATTGGAGATGACAGTTTTATTTTTTAGTATAATTTTAAGGATAAAAAAGTAATTTCATTATAAAGTAAAAAATATAAATATCATTTGAATTGATTTTTCTATGTATTTTAATATTATTGTCTACTTCAGTAATGGAGAGGAATCTGATTCGATACAAATATATTTTATCTCATATTTGCATCACACCAACCCATTTTGAACCTCCAAAGTAAGATTATATTGGTAAGGTTCATCTCCTTTTCATATATTTATTTAATTCAAGCACACTCCTACCCCTTTTTTTCCTCATCCAATTTTCACATTTCCTTCCATTATTAAGTTTATATTCTTTTAAAGTTATTAGAAAACTTTTTTGATAAGTAAATTAATAGAAATTTAAATACAATTTGACTAACTTATTAAATATATAATATTGCTTTTATCAAAGTTATTTTTTCAAATAAGCATTCTTATCTGTAATCAAAGTTACAAACTCTATAGTACAATACACACTTTGTAATATAATTGAACACATGATAAAACATCAACTTTCTATCACCCTCCTCCGAACATAATAAAATTGGAGAAGTTCTCCTATTATTGTAAACATCCTTTTTAAAATAATCAAGAAATTCACTTTAATCTATTATTCTAAAGCTATAGTGGTCAAACCATAAATATTTTAAAATCTCAGTTGTAATAGGCTCAAACATATTCTTACATCATATGTTTTTTTGTGTGCAAATAGTGAAAATCTCTATGCACACTCTAATTGTTACAATTCTTATATATAATAAAGACTTTTAGGTTCAATGTATCATAAAACAAATTTCTACCTCTGAAATTTTCTTATTTGTACTGTGTTAAAAAAAATAACACTGTTAGATAATGAATTAAGATACAAACAGAATTATAAAGTAGCTTGATCATATTTTGACAGCCCTACATCTTGCCCTTGGAGAAACTTGAAGGCTATGTGGTATGAACATGATTTGCTATACTTATTTCAATTTCTCAATTCACTTTCTTGGATGGACAATTGATGTCTCCCAATATAATTTTTTTCAATCAGTATATAACTAACAAGTTCAATTTTCTCTTCGCTTTATTATACACATATGTTATTACAGAACATTATGACGTTGTTTGATCCATATAGTTGATTTCACCCGATCTGATAAAGACTTAGTTGTTGTTGTATTATACAAAACTTTGATATTGTAGAATGAAACTAATATTATATTTATCAATTTTTGTGCATATCTTTCAAATTTCAGCTGCTTCCTGAGTTCATCATGGCAAATAAAGGAACTAATAATGGACGCGAGGTAAATTGACATATTTAATATGTGTATGATTTTGAAAACTCCGTAAGAATGAATTATTTGAATTTTGTCATTTTGTTTATAGTAACAATAGTTTATATTACTGTACTATGAAGAAATCTTGAGTTAGAACACCAGAAGCTCTTATTAATTAGCTTTTAAGAAATTATGGCTTCAATATATTTCAAAATCTTGGACTTGACCTTAGTATCTTTAATCACGCTAAGTCATTAAGTGGCGGTGAATGGATTTAGATTACAAAATCTCTATTGGTCAAGGGTTCATCTGATTTTTTGTGTTGGGTTTTGTTTTGGCTTATTCTCAAACTCTCTATTATTCTGTGTTTTCACCTCCATTGGCAGAAGCTGGGAAGAAACATTGGTTTGACTTTGAGGGAATGAATAAAAAGAAAATCAAGTGTATAATGTATATGTGTTGGTTCACTGACATATATTGATTATGCATATACATTAAGTTCCATCATTAACATTTCGTTTTTTGATAGGAGCCATTGCAGGTGGAAGAAGAACACAGCACAGAAAGTTCATTCCTTGCTGGTCTTTTCTTAGAAAATGATGGTGGCCTTGATGATATATGTACTAGGCATTTCCATTTCCCTAATTCACCTTTGCCAATTAGGTATTGATCACATATCACATAACAATTTATATGTTTATATTGACCACCCTTTAAGCTTTAAGCTTAGATTATAATATAATCTATTATTATTTGAAATTGATTCTGTGACATGTGTTGTTATTATCAGCTCTCACCACCCTCAACAGGAAGGACCATCAAATACACCAATGGCACAGGAAGGACCATCAAATACATCAATGACACATATTATCCCTCCACGTATTGGTGTATGTTATTCCCAATTTTATTATCTGTATAAACAAATTTTTGTTCATAAGCTATATACACACTCATTACTCCCATGTTTTTATTATACTTTACTTTATAATTTATATATATATATGGATGCCTTTAAATTAAAACATGCAGGGAGAATTAGAGAATGCTTTAGAGACTCAGGAGCCAAATTTATTCATGGAACCTGGATTGAATCAGTAAGCTATAACTATTCTTTAAATTTTCCAAAAGTTTATTGGGTTAGCACAGTAATAATTTGTTTACCTAATTTATCAGTATAAGGTTATTACCGAGGAACAATGATTAATTATCTTTATTGATATATAGAAATTATGTGTCAAATTTAATTCAGGTTCAGGAACGTGGATCATCAAGAACAAAACTATGCAGGCATATCTAAGGTTTCTATGGCAGCTGCACAAGGCAATGGGAATAGTTTGGGTAGCAGTAGTTACCATGTGCCAGTAATGGAACCAAATTCACAAGTATGTTGAAAAGGATTAAACTCTTACTAACTTGATGATTATATATAAAAGTATTAGAAATCATAGAGCAAGAAGAGAATATGAAAAACTAACTCATTCTCATTCATTAGAAATAAAGCCTACAATGGTTTATTTATACAAGAGAATTGACTTGTGATCCAAGCAAAAGTGGATGATGCAAAGTTAACAAACTATCTTTAACTCCTAACCACTAACCACCTAATCATCTTCTACAAAAAAAAACTCTAAATATCTTTAATAAAAAGTTCCAATGCTATATCAAAAATCAATTCTCTTAGAAGCTTAGTGTGTTAAATGAAATGTCATGAATGGCTTTTATATATATCTCCAACATTTCATTTCACCATATATTGTTTGTCATTAGAATCAACTTGTATCTGGAACCGGTGCACCATCTCAGTCCTCTCCTGCAACACAGCATGCTAATAACAATACAAATTTGCAGCCACAGAAATCTCAAGTGTCCACTGACCGAGGGTAATCAAAATGAGTCTTCATTTTAGTTTATATATGTATATATATATATATATATATATATATTGAAGTTAATCAATGCCAACTCTTCATTGTTTCTTAGAAAAAAGGTTGCCAAGGACAAGGAGAAGGCAAAGTTCCAAGGATTATTAAGCCAATATTACCCTCTTGCAATGCCACTCAATCCCCAAAATCAATTCCAAAGCACTGAACGAGTATGTTCATATATGTCTTCAAACTTTAAACCAGATCTTCTCATATCTTAAAGAATATTGTTAAGTACTCCTGCTATTCTTTTTTTCATATAACTTTACCTTTTCTATTTTATTCTCTGTAGCAAGGACTCTTGGGCACCAACCCTACTCGTAAGCAACTCAGAATCGGAGAGTCGTCATCATCATCATCATCATCAAGGAATGTTAGGGTACATATATATTTGCTTGCAGCCATTGTATACTGATCTTGTTGCATGCTTAAAAATGAGTATATAATAACTTTTCACCACTAATTTCTTTGACCATAGATGAGAACACCTTTGCTAGACAACAACCAACAATCAACACCAATTAGGGTTGGTAATAATCCATCTACAATGCATGGAAACCATCAACATTTGTCATCAATTCAGATGGAAAATCCACCTGCTCCTTTGGTTAACAACAACCAACATTTGCCATCAGTTCAAGTTGGTAACTTGCATAATCCATTTGCTTTTCCTGACAATGGAAAACAAATGACATTGCATGGAGATGATAGCTTCAATATTAATCAACCCACTTTGAGAAACAATGGCCAACAAGTTGCACCAACTCAAATGGAAAATCCACCAACACATTTACTTAACAACAATCAACAAATGGTATCTGATCATTTTGGTAACTCTCTTAATCCATCTCCTATGCTTGACAATGGCCAACAACTGCCATTGCCTTGGGTTGATAATTCACCTTCTGTGCCTAACAACAACCAACAATTGGCACCAATTCCAGTTGATAACTTGCATAATCAACCTGCTCAGGGTAGTGAAAACCCTCCACCACCAACAAGGTATATATATATATATATATAGAGAGAGAGAGATATTTAATTATAACACCATATTTTTCTATGTTTTCAAAGTAACAAGGGATATATTTATTAACCTTATTTATTGCTACCTCTTTGTCAATTTAGGTATTTGGAAAATGGACTGTATGGTCAAGTTTATGAGCAAATGGGCTATTATGCTGATCCTATTTTGAGATTGTTTCTTTCCCCCAAGCAGAAGAGAGGTTAGCTTTGATTCTTATATATATATATATATATATATATATATATATATATATATATATATATATATATTTATTGAGATCTTTTACAGAACATTAAATGTTTTTCTTATATATACATATATTCATGTTAACAGATGGCATGTAGGATTTACTTTGATGGAATGAAATGACAGAATAGAAGAGCTTCCATTTACAAATATGAGCCATGGAAACTTTATCAACTGTTATGGTTTTTTGTTTTAAGGTCAATTTGGATCCTCTTACTTTTAAAGGGAGGAAACTTAATTTGGATTGAACTCTGGTTTTGCTCAAATTTAGGAACAAAAATTTATTGTTCCAAATCTTATCTTATATATTATCTTTCGTCGATGAAAACATGATACATCAATTTAAAGTTCATTATTATTATTATTTTTGTTTCATTATCATTAGCGAATAACAATATATGAGATAGTATCTTTGTTCCAAATTTAGACAATGTATGGTTTTAGTTTTTTTGAAAGGATATAGATCGAGGTTGTCTTTTTCTAATGGATATATTCCCTTGCTATTAATTGGATTGATGTGGTTTCTTTATATGATCGATGTTTTTCTATAATGAAATTATTTTGAGATTTTAATAAGAAACTTCCATGTTGACAGACATCAATTTATATTTAGTACTCTATATATTCAAAGATTTTCTTTAGCATTAATAGTAGTAGACTAAATTTGGGGTTTTCTTTTGCTCGATTTTTAATTACCGATTTGTTTAGAAACTTAATAATAATATGTCACTGCTTACTTTATCAAATCCAATTACGGTGGGTGGGTTTAGTTTGATTAGTACGTGTATAGCTTGTGCCATTTAATTTTTTCTTTTGGCTTGGTTTTGTATTTAATTTTTTTAGAAAAAGTTTTACAAAAGAGGTTATTTTGTAAATGTTTATTTAAAAAAAAACTTTATTTTGTTTTAAATTTTGGGCAAAAAACAGGAGAATGAGGTCAGGTTGATGAGTTATACGAAATTTCAGCGGAGATTGGATAAGTGTAGCACGTGAGTATAGAATTTTCTAGAAAATTGTACATAGTTAAATAATAAATAATATGTTTAACAACTTTTCCATATCTCTTGAGATGGTGAGTCATCTCTTTGTTACTTTTATTTTTACTTATATATAAAAGAAAATAATGTATTTTACCTCCAGAATGACATTTGCATTGTATTATTTTGTTTTAAAAATATTTTTATAGAAAAATGATTAAATGTTACATATGTCACAATTTTAGTGGTTGGAGAAGATAACTTATCTCCTTATAACAGAAGATACATTATTCTCTATAATTTTATAATATTTTAATAAAAATAAATAAATAAAAATTTAAAAAATTTCAATCTTATATTCCAGTGATCTCTTTAGTAGTAGAACACAAGTATTAATATATATTGTTTCTAAATGACACAATCTAGTAGAACACAAGTAATTCTATTATTTGATTGGTAGCTAGTTCCCAAACATCATGATGATGTTGGAATCTCTCTTCTTCGATGTGCCCATACTGTGATAATAATTTGGTATTTTTATAAAATAATATCACTTTGTCAAAAAATTATCAATAATGTTAAGTTCTATTGAATTTATTATGTTTTTCTCAATATATATTTTATCTCTTTAAAATTATAATTCTCTTTATACTAACGGAAAATAAAATTAATCGTTAATGTTTAGTAGAAATTCTAAACGTGACAGTTAAGAAACGGGAGAGAGTGATTGTTTTTAACTCTCCAAGTTAAAAAAAAACATTGTTAGTGCATGTTGTGAGATGAATTAAAGATGGGGTCGTCGCCTACTATAAATATGATCATTGGTAATGTAGTAATAAAAAGCTGTATTTGGTGGGGTAATAAAGAAGATGGCAGTGAAGTGAATACGCAAGAACAAACGATAAAGACAAAGAAACTGTGTTAATTTTGCTTGAAGTTGAAGCCTAACATCCTAGTAGTGCAAAAGTTCTCTGTTCAGAAGTACAACTTGGTGGCAGCAAAGTGTTTCTTACCTACAGAAGGAAGTGACAATTCCTTAAAAGTTTTAAGGGTCCAAGGACAAATTATCCACATATATCAAATGGTCCTGACTACTCAACCTATTCAAGGAGAATATATAGGATGGTGAAAATAAACAAGTCCCTCAAACATCATATCAGCAAACCACATGACTTGGATCATTATTGACAGTGATGCATCTTCTGAAGAGACCATATCTGATGCATGTTAAGGGGGTGTGAAGGAGAAAGCTTATGACATTTGTTTCTATTGAGTCGTTTTTAAAGTGATGTTCTTGTGGATAATTTTGATTTTTGTTCATGGGATTCATTCCTCTTCATCAATATGTTGAAAATGAGTTAAATCATAACTAAACGAATCTGGAATCAATCTAGCTTCTGAAGTGGACATGAACTCTATTTGTTTGCTACAAATGCTTTCTTCTCTGGATTCTTGAACTGTTTCAGAACTAGTGCACTTAGATGATTTCCAATTAACGAGAATTTATGTCATCCATCAAAGGTGAAGTACCAAGAGTTTCTAAATAAATGAGGCCAAATTCAACCTGTTTCATCAATAGATAGTTGCAAATTCATCCACTTGAGGCTGATATCCTAAACACAAATATAGCCTACAGGGATACTGAAAATATAAACCATCAGATAGGACATGTAATATCTTATGGGCCATCCCTTCTCCAAGAGAGTAACAGTCTTGCAACAAAATAGCATATATCGCAAACTCAGTTCATAAGTTCAAGCATCACATGTGCAAGCATAGTTGTGTACATATGAGTACTAAAGCATAGTTGTGTAAATATGAGTATTAAAGCATAGTTGTGTATATATGAGTTCTAAAGCATAGTTGTGTATATATGAGTTCTAAAGCATAGTTGTGTACAGATGAGTAGTAAAGCATAGTTGTGTACAGATGAGTAGTAAAGCATAGTTGTGCACATATGAGTACTAAAGTTGTTTAATTGGCTTCCTTAGGCCTAACTTCTATTCCTTCAATAACAAGACCATTTTTCCAATTACCACCCTTTGTCTCCAGAACACTCATCTGCACTTCATCATCTTCTAGGCCTGAATTGAAGAACTCACCTATCTCAATCTCCAACCAACCATTACTTTTCATATTTGGACGTTGCAATCCCTGTAACCTGCTTGTCACACTCCTCCCATCTATGTTTGGGTCTAAACATACCTTCTTGGTAGTACTCTGGCCACCAGATATCTCTAATGCTAACTCCACGGGATAGCGAAGAAATCCTTCAGGATCAATCATCTTGAACACAAAATAAGCTGCATAGTGAGTATTTGGGGACAAGGAAGTGGTATTTATCACCCCGCGAATTTCAAGCCAACACACATCCAGAAGTTCAGCAACTTCTGGAAACCTACTTGGACACACAAAAATGCAAAGATAGTTAGACAGAAACAAATGAATGGCATTGACAAATGTATCACAAAATGACAGAACATTCACAATCACAATAATAGTAAAAGTAAAGGATGGAAAAGACCTGAGCTCAGTCTCAATACTACAAACTTTAAAACGAGCTCATTTTGATGGCTCGCAAGCAGCTTGAGCACAACGAGACAACTCATAACATAAAAAGACAACCATCAACCATTCAACTTATACATGGAAGGGTGCATAGATTAGTTGACTGGTATGTCATAACAGGTTTAACTTTTAAGACTGATAATATTATCCATTTATAAACAAGCCAACAATTATAAAACGGTGTAAATATTGATTAATAAAAAAATCCTTTTATATATATTTGTTAAACTATAAACACAAGATATGTTGTGTACTGTATAAAAAAACAGATCGAGATAGCTCATGAGCAAATGAGCTGAATCTATAAACTCTGAAGCTCCACTTCTCAGTTTCGTAGAGAATCACAAATTAGTTATTGCGTACCAATTCGTGGTTCTTTTGCGAATTGGTTCGTATAAAGAACGAACCAGATTTTCACATACAATTTAAGTTAAAGAAAGAACAGAGAAAAGAAAGAGTAATTGGTAATGTGCACTCACTACAAGAAATAATTTTATCTTGAGATATTTCTCCTACTGTGAAGCAAAATAAAAACCTACAAAAAGTAACACTAGAAAACGGTTGTAGAGGAAGCTATAGAAACTCATCTGAGTATACCCCTAACATACCGGTCAATGATGTAAATTGCAGAGCACATCCCTTGATGCGGCACAATATTGCGGTTGCCGCAACCGCCGCAACCGCGTCACACCGTAATCACAGTGTGACTCCGAATCACAATGATGCAACGCAACCACATCGGACCGCATCAGATTCAAAAATATTGTTTTAGTCACAAAATAAATCACACTACAATGACCGCAATCCGCATCGCAACGGCAACAATATATACCGCAACCGTAATTTAAAACCGGTATTTTACATAACATAATGTCGCGTACTGCATACCCATCCTAGAGAACCACGTATGAGGTGCCAAACATTTATAGGTGAAGTGGAGCTTACGAGGGTAGGTTATTGTGTTGTTAGTAAAAGGAGTATTGAATAATATAGATGATAAGGCACGTTGTAAAAAATAGTGAATTAGAAAAGTGGAGATCTGACCTAGAATCCGGTAAGGTTTTCCAGTTCCAATAGTTAGGAGTATCACCCCAAACAATGGCGAGAGCTCTAGCACCAAGCATATAACACTTTTTCCCACTCTTTCTCTCCAATTGAAAGCTCTGTAATTCAAAGTCCCAAATAATAAACCTTAAATATTGAATTGAGAAATGGATTAAACATAATAATAATAATAATCCATGTATGTACCTTAGTGGCGTGATCGATGATGATGGGGCTTTGAGAGAGAGTGATATATATAGATTTGTTGGAAGGAGAAGGAGAAGTAGAGAGGAAAGAAGAATGGGAAACGGATCTGAAAAAGATGGAGACGTAATCAGAAGGGAGAAAAGAAGCCCAAACGGCGTCGGATTCAGAAGCGGAATAGAAGGTTCTGGAAACGAGAGAGAGGATACATGTGTCAAGAGGAGTGGTGCGAGAAAGTATCGTAGCTATGCATCCTTCAGGTAACGATTCAAACCCCATTGTTTATTCTCTCTCTAAACTGCACCGCGATCACCACTATTTATATTACAAAGTATTTGTTGTAAATTCTAAATCCTATAATCTTCGATTCATCTTAAAGGGGTCTCTTTCTGCATTCTATAAAATTTAAGGATTAAATCACTACTCATGTAAAGTTAGAAGGTACTTTTCAAAATATCAGCCACGTTTCCTTAAAATTA